GAGGAGTACGTTGTTGCCGTGGCTGCGACCGCCGGGGAGCAGTGGACCAGTGCCGGGCGACACTTTGGTCATGTCTCGCCCTCCCTCTCCCATTTCCCCTGCTCCTTCCTTCATCTTCAATCAAAATGCGAACAATAATAACAACGTCGATAATGTCAGTTTCCGGTAAGTTGGTTCGTCTTATTTCTGTCTGATTTGGTAGCTTGATAATTTCATGATCGTCAGTTTAGTCTTACAGTATTCTTTATTCTTGAATGCTTAAAAAAAAGTCATGAAATTCGCTTTCCGAAGTGTAATAGAGTACAGTTTTTTCTGATTTTTTCCCCTATCAAAACTATCAAAGTTAAAAATGTTATTAGTGACTTTTATTACTGTGACGGAGTGTAACGACAAACGTTTGACTGGCAGGGGCACCGGTGAAAAGGCAAACCATGTACCTCAGCCGGCGGATCACTCAGGCCTCAATTACACCTTTGGAAGCCTGGAAGATGAGGCGGGCACGCACAGACCGTAAGTGTTTTTTTACCCTTTTTTTGCTCTGTTGCTCGTCTGTGCTTGGTAAGAGAAGGGAAAGAGGAGGAAAGATGGTGGGAAATGGGGAGTGGGAGGAAGGGGAAGAGGGAGAATAAAAAAGAGAGAAAATGACGGCAGATGAGGGAGGAAAAGGGAGAGGAGAAAAATGACGGGGAATGAGGAGTGGGAGAAAATGACGGTAGATAAGGGAGGAAAAGGGAGAGGGAGAAGCTAAAAGGAGGAGATTGACGGGAAATGAGGAGTGGGAGTAAGGGGAAAAGGGAGAATAAAAAAAAGAGAAGATGACGGCAGATGAGGGAGAGGGAGAAGCAGGTAGGAGAAAAATAACGGGAAATGGGGGAAGGAAGGAAATCGAAGGGGGAGAATAAAAAAGAGAAAAACTGATGGGAGGTATGGGAGGAAAAGAGAGAGGGAGAAGCTAAAAGGAAGAATAATGACTGGGAATGAGGGGTTAAGAGAAAAAAGGGAGTGGGAGAGACAAAGGAGAGAGAGAAAAAATGTGATGGTGACGATATTGATTAATTGGATGAGATTATCATCAGGAAGATAACGAGACTAATTAAAGTAGTAGTATTAATAATAGGAGCGAGGTACGGAAAAGTAGAAAAGAGTTATTGATTAGGAGGACGAGACAAGTACAACTGGTTAGAATGTGGGAGAGAATAGACAATGGTAACTGGTTGGAAAATTGAAAATAAATTTATTGCTTAAGCCAGTGGTTTGCAAACTGTGGGGCGCGTTCCCCTAGGGGTCGGTAGCGCGAAGGCTTTATGAAGAGGTTATTGTTTGAGGAATTTATGAAACTAGAGAAACAAGCGCAGTCATCATACTAAGTGTATTTTTTGTAATATTTACTGACATGTGCAGACTATGGCAGCAAAATGTATGGGAGCCATTCGGTGAGGGCGAGCAAGATTTAAAAAAAATGGAAACCACTGACTTAATTCCTTTTGTGACCGCTAAGCTCATCGATCAATTTTGATTCCAGTAGCATTCAATTACATTCGATTTGGTCACAGAAATTCACCTCAAGGCAAGCCATTATTTGTTTCATTCCCTGCATGTTTTTCACTCCAAACCCATCAAGTTTGATTAGGATTAATATCCCATTTGGTTCCATAAATGGTTGTTTTTTCTTTAAAACCATGCCATTTTATAGCGACGGATAATTGATACGAGAAATAGACCGTTGTAGGTTACCTCAGTGAGATTTGTTTATATACTTCGTGTTGTTTCACGAGTATATTTATTAGCTTTTCCAATAGAACCTTTGTCCGAAAAATAGACGAAAAATTGATCTCCACAATGTATTTGCAGTTGTTGATCTTGTCATCTCCTCAGGGACCCGGGTGAGCTGCAGCAGGAAGTGCTGGAGCTGGAACACACGAACCGCCGCCTCACTGGGGAAAACGCCGAGCTCACCACCCATCTCACATACGCAGAGGACCTCAACACGTCACTCAGGGAACAATGTAGACAGCTTGAACAGGCACTCGGCAGGTAAGCGTAACGGGTAGCTTGAATGGGTAATCGAGTGTGCAAATGTAACGCAAAACTAGGGTTAAAATCAAGATAAATTTTCAGGAAAATAAGTAACGAATTTTATTAACATATTGCTACAGGATAATGCCGTTGTTATCAGTAGCGCCAGCGACTTTTATCACCTGAAGCCGCGCCGAGATAATCCCTGACTTTGGTCATCTTATCGCTTTCAAACACTTCTTACGTGAAGGATATTTGATTTCACATTTCAATGTGACTATTATAGCACATTATAAGAATTTTTTTTATAGAAACTTTGAAGTGTTTTATCAATTTCTGATATAATTTTTACGTTAAGATAGTTATCAGACACAAATCATGGCATTCCTTTATTGATTATTTGTATGATAACAAATATACTTATCCGAGCAGCGTGCAGCACCAGCTGGCGGGAGCGCGGAGGATGGAAACGGAGATTGAGGAGTTCCGAAACCTCCTCGACATGGAACGCGAGGAGAAGGGGCGTCTCCTCGGCCGGCTGGGCCACTTGGAGAAGGACAATCAGGAACTTGCTGCCAGGCTCGAGGGTCTTGTGGATCAGGTACTTGGAACACAGTTGGTTTTGATCATGATGCTATCATTCTAAAAGAGAAAGAGAAAAAGAAAAAATGTTTTGTTTTATTCAGTGTAACAATATACGAACACATACTTGTAAGTGTAAGTATAAGTGTGCGTGTTTGCGTGTGTATGCATGCATGCGTGTGCACGAGACCGTGTGTATGCGTGCATGCCTGTACACGTGAGGTGTATATGCGTGCATGTGTGTGCACGTGAGCGGTGTATGCGTGCATGCGTGTTTGAGTGCGTGTGCGTGTGTGCCTCCTTGTGTGCGTGTGTGCCTCCGTGTGTGCGTGAGCGTCCATGTGCGTGTGTGTGCGTGTCTATGTGCGTGTGTGTGTGTGTGTGTGTGTGTGTGTGTGTGTGTGTGTGTGTGTGTGTGTGTGTGTGTGTTTATGTGCGTGCATGTGTGTGTGTGCGCGTGTGTGAGAGAGAGAGAGTGAGTGAGAGTGAGTGAGCGAGTGAGCGAGTGAGTGAGTGAGTGAGTGAGTGTGCATGAATACACACGCGTGCTAACTGTGTTTGATTGTTTTATTCAAGTATACATGGTAATGTTTCATGGCAAATATGATTGAGAAAGCGTTTCCCAACCAGAAATGGTATATTGAGGGGGCGATTTCATTATAGTGCTAGTTTTACAGTTCGTCTGATGTTAATGCTCAAAATCGTTTTGAATTATTTTTGTTATCATCATTATAATTATAATAACCATCATTATAATTATTATGATAATCATCATTATAATAATGATTATAATTAGTGTAGCTATTACTGTGATGACAATAGGAATAGTGAAAGAATGGAGTAAAGGTTGTTTTTGTTATTTGTGTTTTTTATTACTTTATTTTATATTTTTCTGCAATTATCATTATCATCATTATTCATTGTCATGATGATTGATGTTGATGTTTTGTTATTTATTGGTTTAGGTAATCTTGTTATTGTTATCCTAAGTATTAGTACTGTTAGCTTCATATCAGCAGCATCATTATTATCATCAATATTGTTATAATTATTATTGTTGTTTTCATCATCATTATCATTATCATTGTTTTTATTATTCTTTATTGTGATTGTTTTTATTGGTATTATTATTATTGTTATAATTAGTAGTAGTATTTTTATTACCATTGTTGTTATTATTATAATGATGATAATAATAATGATTACTGTTGTTATCTATTATTATTATTATTATTATTATTAATTTTGTCATCATTATCATCATCATGATTGATTTTATTGTTATCATTTTTATGAGGTTTAAATTTCACCATTATTATTGTTTTTGTTGTTGTTATTATTTTTATTTGTAGTAGTAGTATTAGTAGTATTAATGTTGTTGTTATTGTTTTTATAGATATTGCTGTTATTACAATATTGATGATAATACTTTTTCTTATCATTAGCAGTAGCAAAAAATAGTAGTTGTGACATTAATTTTTTTTGTTTTTATTATTGTTGTTTTTATTGATATAGTTATTGTTTTTGTAATTGTTGTTGCTGATATTGCTCTCAATAATGTCTACTTAATGGATAACTATGATTATTATTGTTATTAGTAGGATTAGTTTCATTATTTTATTTTTTTTTTTTCAGTATTGTTTTTATTATTGTTGTTATTATTATCATTATTGTTATTGTAATTATTATCATGATTATGATTTTATTATTATTATTGTCATTAATTTTATTGTTATTACTATTATCGTTATCATAATGATAATGATGATAATAATAATTATAATAATTTATTTTTTTATTAATTATTATTATTATCAATTATTATTATTATATTATCAGTTATTATTATTTATCCTTACTGCTATTATTTTATATTATTATTATTATTATTATGATTATTTTATTATCATTATTATTTTTATTATTATTATTATTATTATTATTATTATTGTCTATAAAATTATTGTTATTACTGTTGTTGTTGTTGTGTTGCTGAGTTACAAGCATTGTTATTGATATTGTTATTTATATTATCATTATTTTGTTGTTAATATTGATGTTAGATTTAATGTCATTATCATTAGTATTACTGGACATCCTTGTATTATTTTTTATAATTGCTATTAACCTTATAGTTACTGTTACTACGTTTTTCTTGTCACTATTACTGTTAATGTTATTATTTGTAGCAGCAGTGCTTGGATGATTATTATTGATATTTTCATTATCATTATTTGTATCTTTTATTGATTTATTTTTTATTAGTATCATTGAAATTATCATCTTTGTTACTATTATCATCATCTATTACGATTGATTACTTCTATGCTTTTTATTATTATTATTATTATTATTATTATTATTATTATTATTATTATTATTGATATTGCGTTTGTTATTATCATTATTATTTGTATTATTATTGATATTGTTATTATTATTATTATTATTATTATTATTATCATTATCATTATCATTATCATTATCATTATCATTATCATATCATTATCATTATCATTATATTTGTTACTATTCTATTACTATAACTGTTATTATTATTTCTATTATTGTTACTACTAGTAGTAGTAGTAGTAGTTTTAGTATTGTTATGATAACAAATATAGTGTAGTTATTATTATCATTTGTTATAATCATTATAATAATTATTGTTGTTATTATTTTTCATTGTGAGCTATTGTTGTTTTATTATTATTATTATTATTATTATTATTATTATTATTATTATTGTTATTATAATTATTATTATTTTTATTATCGTAAGTGTTTTTTAGTAATTGTTATTGTTATTATTATCATTGTTCTTGCCATTATTATTATTATTGTTGTTATTATTTTTATTGTAGTTATTATTGGTGTTATTGGTATTATTGGTGTTGTTATTGTTACTATTGTTGTTATTATTTTTATTGTTATTATTATTATTATTATATTATCATCATAATTATTATGATAATGGTGTTATTGTAAGTTACAATTATTATTATTATTGTTGTCACTGTCATCATCATTAGTATCATTATCATAGTCAATTTCAATGTTATTTTCACTATTACTATTACTGTTATTTTTATTTCTATTATCAATACTGTTGCTATTATTACTATTATTTTTGATAGAGCAGTCCTGATCAGAGAGTTTATTTATGCATCATATCAGTGCATTAGTGCATTATTCCATCTTTCACTAATACACCACAGTACTTCTGATTTTGGATTTGAACAGCTCTATTAATATCTACCAAGTGCCTACGGGGAGTGTGTGTAAAACTCTGCTATCCTAACTCAAATATAAGTAGATAGTTTATGTCTATGGAAGGTAGATAGCTCCTAGTTGCACACTCCTTTTAGTGGGTCATATAGCTCAGTTGGTATGGGCATGTCTAGCAGTTACCCGCTGCAATGACATGGGTTTGAGTCCTGATCGGAGAGATTATTTATTCAATATTAATATGCCGTGATATTGATACTGATATTTAGAAAAAAATCATTGTAGTTAATTCATTATTATCATTATATTTATCATTGTTGTTGTTATTGTGCCTTTTATTATTATTATTTTTTTTTATTGTATAATTATTATCATAATTATTACTATTATTATTATTATTATTATTTGTATTTGTATTATAACTACTACTATAACTATTTCAGTTATTGTTACTGCTGCTATTGCTATTTTTATAATTACTATTATCAATACTGCAAACATGGCTATCATCATTGTTATTTTTTCCATTATCTTTATTATAATCAGTATCATCAGTACCATTTTTATTACTATTATTGATATTACCATTATTGTTATTATTTTTACTATTATTATTTTTATTATTATTATGATTATTGTTTTTATGATTGTTCTTTTTAGTAATATTGTTATTAATATTAATATCATCATTGTCATTGACGTAGTTGATATTGTTGATATTGTTTTTAGTGCTGTTGGTATTACTATTGTTATTGTTATTATTAGTAGTAGTATTGATAATATTGATTATTTGTATTGCTGTTTGTTACTTCAATTATTGATGTAATTATTGTTAATATTGACTTATCTTTGCCATTTATTTTATTAGCATTATTTATGTTATTCATACTATTAGTGATGATTGTAATTATTCGACTCCTAACTAATGCAAGAAACACATGGTGACTTTATCAATACTTTATCGTTATTGTTGATATTGAAGATGATTGTGGTGTTGGTGATTCTGGTTGTTAATATTACGTCAAAAGATACACATTACCCATAACCTGTTGAACATACACTAGCATCCCTAAAAGCTTTTGTCAATTACAGCTAAATCTTCCAAACAAATTTTAGAATATAACAACTATTTTAGGTAAATGCTGCACATGAGGAGGCTGAAGGGCGGGCAACCCGAGAAGCTCAACTTGTGGCAGAGCACAAGACGCAGGTGGCAACCTTGATGGAGAAACTCTTAAACTGGAAGTCTCAAGCTCAGTCCCAGGGTGCCCTTGTGCGGGACCTCGAGGATACAGTGAAAGATCTCAAGAGAGTCATTGAGGTAAGTAAAAGTTTGAGATTACCACACTATAGGAGATCTATAGACAGGACTTGGCTGGAATGAATAGAAGCTTTTAAAAGTAAATTATTTGATTTACTGACACTTCATGATATTTGGTGCATTGTATTAGTAGTGGTAATTTGTGGTCCTTTTAAGTATTAAGGAAAGAGCAAAAAGTATGACAATTAGACTTTTCTTGAGGCTTTTGGTTTATCCATAATAGCTTACCATAAGTTGATAGAACATAACTCAAACTTTTATTCTCAGAAAGTATTGTTCTTTTTGGAAAAACAGTCCTGAACACTTTGTCATGAAAGTGTTTTCTCATGATGTACATGATATGATTTGCTCAATTATTCTATTATTCTATCCAATATAAAGTTAAAATGTTTGAATTCTGTTATGCATATTTCTAATTGATGTGCTTTTATTAATATGTGGATTGCAGGTTCTAAAAGATGAAAAAACTAATTTGGAGCAACAGCTGACATGCCTAAGAGAAGAGCTGACTTCTGTAACCACACAGGCAGACCATGAGGTAATTTTATGAAATTTTGACAAGGGTATAGAAAAACTTGTCAAAGTAAGAAAATGAATAGTGAAATTGTTTGACATTCACCTTTAGTTATAGATATTTATACAAGAAAATTGTGCGCATGCATTGAGAAATTGATGGATTAGAATGTAAAATTGTGAATATACATGGCTTTACTTAAATTTCCCCCCCCCCCTTTTCATAAACAGATAAGTGGTGAGGTTGAGGAAGATGTAAAGGAGACCAGAAGTAATAGTAATATCATGGGATCACTGAAAAAGATGCCATGGGGACCTCCTTTGTATTCCACACCCTTCAGTGGAAGAAGTCTTGCCAAATCGTCTCAAGAAACACCCCAGAGCATACACTCAGAAATACATACTATGGTACAGTGGTTAAATATAAGTTTTTATTATCTTAGCTTTTGGTGGGTAGGGATGATAGGCAGAGTTTTGGTTCTGAAAGCTTGATATTTCCAGTTTCTTAATATTTGAATTGAACATCTTCAGTGTCAGCCAGTGTGTTTTTGGAAGTCTGTGTCTTTGTTTAGTAGTATGTAGAAGGTGTAAGTAACATTTTTTTCTTGTTGAAGCCTTTCAGTCAAGAAGTAAATAAAGTAGTGGGGCTCTCCACACTTTTGCATGTGTCAATGTAGATTGATTCACTTGGAATACTATAATCTTGTTAAGTAGTGCTGAAAGGCTAAAACAATAGATAGGTATTTAAAAGATTCAAAAGTAGATGCTCCTGTAGTTTTGATTCCGGGTACATCTATAAATACTATGTTTGTACATGACCCAGTGTTAGTACTTAATCTTACAGCCCCAGATAAATGAAACCAAATAGAGGCTTGGTATTTAAAATATGAATTCTAAAATAGATATTGGGATTGGACTAGAGAGAAAATATATAAGTGTAAATATCAAGAGGAACCACAAAGAATCCCATTTTTTTACTGAATGAAGCCATGACATAAAAATGAATACAGGCCACCTTTACAATAGTTTTGAGGAACTGCAGCAGTAACTCTTTAGACATAAGAGTTGGTATTTTGTTCATAGAATATGGTACAGAAGTAGGCATTAGAAATGTTATCAAAAATTGGCTTAAGTTGTGATTATCTAGTTTGGCAATCAAAGAGGTCTGTGCAACTACTGCAAATTCACAAAAAGAATACATAGTCTGATAGCAAATCTGTGGAAATGGGTTAGATATTAATATAGAGATTTGAAAATATGTGGCAAGATGTTTGCAGTATGTTGATACATATGATGATGACTAATAAAAACAAAAGAATATAGGATTTGGCTATAAACAAGGTATTTTTTATGTTACTGTGTTGGAAAACCTTTGGAACCCTTTTCACTCATACCATGTTATTTGTAATAAGTAATAAGGAAAAATGCAGGCCTATCACTTCCTACAGTTATTTATGGAAAATGCTGCAAAAAAGACATGGCCAGTACGGAGGCATGTTTTAAGATATATGTATTTTAGATTGTTAGTTGCTTTTGATATATGCTTGATCAAACAATAGCTTGCTTTTGATATATGCTTGATCAAACAATATCTTGCTTTTGATATATGCTTGATCAAACAATAGCTCACAGAACAAATCAGGCTATTGCAGCTCCGATGAGGTATAAAGGTGCCTGTATTGTAAAGGTGGTAGCATTAAGAAAGTGAATAGATTGCAGTTTTTTATTCAATATAATAGTAATAATAACAATAATAATAATAATTATTATTATTATTATTATTATTATTATTATTATTATTATTATTATTATTATTATTATTATTATTATTATTATTATTATTATTATTATGATGATGATGATGATGATGATGATGATGATGATGATGATGATGATGATGATGATGTCAAAGGTATGTTGACAATGGTACCAGTTGTGCTTTTTGTCAATCCCCAATCTTTTGGTATAAGTACTGCAATGTTATCTAAGAGTCAAGTAAATTATATAAATGCTCCTGTAGTTTTGATTCCGGGTACATCTATAAATACTATGTTTGTACATGACCCAGTGTTAGTACTTAATCTTACAGCCCCAGATAAATGAAACCAAATAGAGGCTTGGTATTTAAAATATGAATTCTAAAATAGATATTGGGATTGGACTATATATATATATAAGTGTAAATATCAAGAGGAACCACAAAGAATCCCATTTTTTTACTGAATGAAGCCATGACATAAAAATGAATACAGGCCACCTTTACAATAGTTTTGAGGAACTGCAGCAGTAACTCTTTAGACATAAGAGTTGGTATTTTGTTCATAGAATATGGTACAGAAGTAGGCATTAGAAATGTTATAAAAAATTGGCTTAAGTTGTGATTATCTAGTTTGGCAATCAAAGAGGTCTGTGCAACTACTGCAAATTCACAAAAAGAATACATAGTCTGATAGCAAATCTGTGGAAATGGGTTAGATATTAATATAGAGATTTGAAAATATGTGGCAAGATGTTTGCAGTATGTTGATACATATGATGATGACTAATAAAAACAAAAGAATATAGGATTTGGCTATAAACAAGGTATTTTATTTGTTACTGTGTTGGAAAATCTTTGGAACCCTTTTCACTCATACCATGTTATTTGTAATAAGTAATAAGGAAAAATGCAGGCCTATCACTTCCTACAGTTATTTATGGAAAATGCTGCAAAAAAGACATGGCCAGTACGGAGGCATGTTTTAAGATATATGTATTTTAGATTGTTAGTTGCTTTTGATATATGCTTGATCAAACAATAGCTTGCTTTTGATATATGCTTGATCAAACAATATCTTGCTTTTGATATATGCTTGATCAAACAATAGCTCACAGAACAAATCAGGCTCCGATGAGGTATAAAGGTGCCTGTATTGTAAAGGTGGTAGCATTAAGAAAGTGAATAGATTGCAGTTTTTTATTCAATATAATAGTAATAATAACAATAATAATAATAATTTTTATTATTATTATTATTATTATTATTATTATTATTATTATTATTATTATTATTATTATTTTATTATTATTATTATTATTATTATTATTATTATTATTATTATTATTATTATTATTATTATTATTATTATTATTATTATTATTATTATTATTATTATTATTATTATTATGTCAAAGGTATGTTGACAATGGTACCAGTTGTGCTTTTTGTCAATCCCCAATCTTTTGGTATAAGTACTGCAATGTTATCTAAGAGTCAAGTAAATTATATAAATTAGAATTGGTAGTATCTGTTCCATTTTGGTGTACTGATATTGGTATAAATAAGGTGAAAATATGGCTTTGCTTGGCTTTGCTAGTGATTCGATTCGAGAAAGTCTCTCCAGTATCAGCTAATTTGAACGCTGAAGTAAAGTAACTTTATATGTTTTTTAATTACAGATGAAATCAGAATGAAGATAAAAGTAGTGGTATAGAGTTTGGAATCCACAAAGTATCAGTCACTGTTATCTGTGCATAGGGTTGATTAGAAATTGGGTTTTGGTAATGAGATCAACCCACATCTTGGCACTGGCGCATATCTAGTATATGGATATGTAAATCTGTAAATCTGTTCTCTTTAACCTGTAAGAGTACCTAGTTTAATGAAGACTATGCAGAAGTTTTGCATTGTGTATGTTTATAGTTTTCAGTAAAGTGATTACATTATCTCAGAAAAGAATGTTAGATATGATGATTTGAACACGTGCATAAAGAATGTTGAAAGAATGCGTTTACTTATGTGTTTTTGAGATCCATCAAGCCTAGATACCATTCACATATGAGTAATTGGTAATCAGCTGCTCAATTTAACATATACTAGCTCTTTTTTTATTGAGTTAAAATCTAACTCTTGGAGGGAAATATGATTATTAACATAGTGGATAAGCATTGCTAGTTTATATAGGGCTCTTAAGTTAATGGTGTTGCACGGGTAAGAGGATTATATAAAATTTAAATGAAATATGTGAAATTGGATTTATATGGAATATATGAAATATTTATATGAAATGTCTCATATGTATGAATTTTGGAATAGTCCATATGGAGTATTGCATACTTTTGCTGAACTTTTCTAGCATATGCTCAAACTCCATAAAATCAGAAATGGTCTTTTTTTATTGAATTTTTAAAGATGGAAATTAAGCATTTTTTTTTGTCCCAGCATTTTCTGGATAGTGGTTATTCCTTACTCATTATTATGATTTTAACTTTTTATGATACTGAGAATATTTTAGGACTGGCTGTAAAAACAGTAATTTTTTCTCATTTCAGACTAGTCCTCATAGCTAGTATCATCCTGTTTTTTAAAAAGATTATGCTTAGTTTTATGTAAAGTACATTTTTTATTATACAGATATGATTATCAAGCTACTATGGCTGTATAATATGCATATATTTACTTTCTGCAGGGTGAGAACAATGGTTCTCTACCATTTTGTGAGAAGAGTGAGGATGCTCTACGTTCATTTTCTCACAACCAAGGTGATAATGGCAATCTCCAGTGCTCAGCAAATGAATGTGCTGCAGACTCTTCCACCGCTCTCCTATCTAATATGGTGAGTCTCCATTGTCACAGGCATTGGCACTTTCATCTTGCCTGAAGATTTCTGCATAAAAACTGTATTAGTATGTATTGCTCCTCAGCTATCTAGTAATGGTGAGTCCCCAT